AAGCTATTTGTTTATCTCAGTGATACAAAAAATGAGGCAAAGTCTCTGTTTTTGAAACCTATATCCTGGTTATCCATTTCTTTGTACTCCATCATTGGAAGGATTTTCTCTGTGACTGTAACTCTGTTATTTTTCAAACTAGTTTAGGTTCGAATTAATTCTCTGATTTAAAGATAATTAACAGATATTTTTTTCGTTTATTTAACTTATGTCCCGATATAGCTCAAATCAAGCATGTAGTGAATTTGCATGGGTTTAGATGTAACTTGCATTAGTTGCATAGTGATATTATATCTTTTGCTCTCTATTTTGAAACTTTATATTGTATACTATTTAGCTCAATCCTGAAATTGATAACTTGTGATTGACACATCAAGTACATGATGCTTGGTGTTGGCATTGCTGCTGGGTGTACAGCTAGGGATCCATTATTTTAGACACGCATATGGAATTTTTGAAGTGATATCAATTAAAAAAATGAAAAAATCCCCAAAGACTTGAAGCCTGGTTATCGAAGCAAGAAAAAAATTATGACTTCACCAACCACTTCGGCCTAATCATCCCACTTCTTTCCTCAATAAAAATGTAGGTATTATTTTATGTTCTAAATTTTGAAATTGCAATTTTTAGTGTTTTTTGTAAACAACATCAAAAAATGATGAAAACATTTTATTTTATTAATAGGTTGTGATAAATATGAAATATATTAATAAAGCAAAGCATGAAACATCATTTTTTATCTTGTCTATATTTTAAATCTTTTAGTCATATATGCACTTACAGAATGAAAACCAAAAATAAAAAAATAAAACGAGCGATAATGTATCACCTTAAACTTTTCAATGGCACATTATTTACAAACATTATTCCCAACTACTTTGCCCACAGACTGACATGTAACTACCCTTTCATTGACTTATCATACATCTACATTTATTAAAGAGTTATTGATTGACTTTTTATATGCATTCATCCATTCACTTTACGACACATAAGTTCGTAGGAAGACTTTGTACATCTAGTGTTATCTGTTTTGTTTTTTGAACTGATGATTCTGGTGAATGTGTTATAATAAACCTTTTCTCTTTAGTTATATACTTATGATATCTTGAACTTTTAACTTTTGTGATTGAGAAATATCATCCATTAGAATGCTAAAATCAATATCATCTTTTGTAGAGATACTGATGCTGATTATGAATTCAAGTATGTGATCCTTGGTGGTGGCGTGGCTGCTGGATATGCAGCTAGAGAGTTTGTTAAGCAAGGTGTTAAGAGAGGAGAGCTTGCAATTATCTCCAAAGAAGCAGTGGCTCCATATGAACATCTCACACTTAGCAAGGAATATCTTCTCCCTGAGCGACCTGCTAGACTTCCAGATTTCCATGTGTGTGTTGGAAGTGGAGGAGAGAGACAGCTTCCGGAGTGGTACATAGAGAAAGGAATAGAATTGATCCTTAGCACAGAAATTGTTGAAGTAGAGCTTACTTCCAGGGATCTTGTTAGTGCATCTGGCCAAGTCTTCAGGTATCAAACATTGATAATTGCAACTGGTTCCACACCGGTAAGGTTGAAAGATTTTGGTGTACAAGGAACTGATGCGAAAAATATCTTCTACATGAGAGACATTGATGATGCTGTCAAATTGGTTGATGCGATTAAGGAGAAGAAAAATGGGAAGGCTGTGATAATTGGAGGAGGATACATAGGTCTTGAAGTTAGTGCAGCTTTGAGAGTCAACAGTTTTGATGTTACTATGGTTTATTCTGAGCCATGGTGTGGGCCTTGGTTCTTCACCGCTGGTATTGCTACTTTCTATGAGGGTTATTATGCCAATAAAGGAATCAAAATTATTAAGGGAACAGTTGCTGCTGGATTCACAATTGACTCTGATGGAGATGTCAAAGAAGTGACACTAAAGGATGGCAGGGTGCTAGAAGCTGACATTGTTTTTGTTGATGTAGAAGCTAGACCTCTGACATCATTATTCAAGGGGCAGGTTGAAGAGGCGAAGGGTGGAATAAAGACTGATGCATTTTTCAGGACAAGTGTTCCTAATGTTTATGCTGTGGGAGATGTTGCTACTTTCCCTTTGAAATTGTACAATGAGATGAGAAGAGTTGAGCATGTTGACCATGCCTACAAATCAGCTGAGCAGGCTGTGAAGGCTATCAAGGCAAGTGAGACAGGCAAAACAATTGAGGAATATGACTACCTCCCTTACCTTTTTTCTCGTTCTGTTGATCTCTCATGGAAGTTCTATGGTAGCAATTTTGGAAGGAGCTTACTGGTTGGAGACAATGATCCCACAACAGGAAATCATAAGTTTGGAATATTTTGGATAGAATCGGGCAAGATCACTGGAGCTTTCCTTATGAATGGGACTTTCCAAGAAAATGAGGCCATTGCCAAAGTTGCTAAGGTCCAGCCTGCGGTTGATTATTTGGATGTTTTGAAGGAGGAGCTGGGTTTTTCCTCTAAAGAAGACAGGTGAGAAATATAAATATAATTAAAGGCTGATATACAAATTTGGAAAAGATAGTATGACTCAAATTCAATATAAATATTTAAAAAAAAAAAAAAATTGTCTCAATATGGAAACTAGTTTTTAATGTCCATCAATCTTGAAAATGAATGAAAACCTATGTTTTTGATACCTCTATATTCATAAAAACTAAAATTAAGCCTAGAATACAATATTCAATAATCCAGTATGAATTGCATTATAGAAACATAGAGGACACAGTCTTGTATTGTTTTACTTTTAAAGAAATATTTCATTATTCTTTTTAAAGTTTTATATTGCTAATTATTCCTTGTAAGATTTAGGTATACTTGTAGGTGTCGGCTATGACAAGTTCTGTCTCAGCTATGATGATTGGCTGTACTGATTTTCTACAGTTTTATATTGCTAATTTTTTCTTATAGGAAAAATAGGAATACTTGACATTTTGTTTTTGTCTTCTTTTTTTGGGAATTATGAAAAATCTAGAAACGTAAAGTATTTAACAAAAGTACTCTTAGTGGAACAGACCTACCATATTTTTTGCACATTCATTTAATAGAATTTCATCAAATATATATAAATTTGATCATATTATCACATTCTCCATGTGCTCATCTATTAAAAATCTGCAATAAATGCATTGATTTTTTTTTTTTTTGGCTCTATTGTGATAGGTTTATTTTCTCAATAAATGCGTATGTGATGAGATTCTGTTGGATTGTGTTAAAGATTTGATAGAATTTAAGAAGCTTCAAAAGCAATCCACAGTTTAGAAAATTAGATCATGAGGATCAGTTTAAAAAGTCTTAAAAGAAGCTATTGATTAAAAAAAAAAAAAAAGGCAGACTTTTTATCTCAAATGATGTATATCAATTTGTGATTGACTTGTGGATTTTGTGTTACTTTGGTTTATACTATGTAATTCCCCTGCTTATTCCTTTGTTTCTGGAATTGATCACTTTGGTCAATGAATAAATATGTTAAATAGTGTTGTCCTTAGAACTTTATCATATATAAGACATGCATTTTCCTTAATTAGTTATATACTTATGCTATTTTGAACCATTTATTTGAATGCTAAGTCGGGTATCATCTTTCGTTGAGCTACCAGCACTGATCCTTGGTGGTGGCGTGGTTTCTGGATATGCCGCTAGGGAATTTGTTAAGCAAGGTATTAAGTGAGGAGAGCTGACAATTATCTCGAAAGAAGACATGGCTCCATATGAACGTCCCACATTTAGTAAGTAATATCTTCTCCATTAGACACCTGCTAAACACCTGCTAGACTTCCATAGACCAGTCATGAAAAGCAGTTCTAGCTCGGTGGATGAGTACTCATTATGTTATTTTGTGGTGGCTGTCCTTATACCCATATAAATGATTTGATTTTGCTTTTCATGACTGAGTCTTTATGAATTCCTTAAAACTCTGTTTGAGCAGCAAATTTGATTTCCTATTTTTCTATGTTAATGCCAGATTGTCTCGAATCCTTTCTGAAACTTATAATTACTATTATTATTCTTCTTCTTCTTCTTTTTTACGTATCATTGGTACTATAAAATTACAGCTTGGAAATTGGTACTACAAAATATTGATATTGATAAGTAGGAATCAGCAGAATGTAGAGATTCCTGTGTAAATTTACTTTGTCATCTGATACATTTGTTTATATGTAGATTTGTTTTGTAACTCTATTTACAAATGCTTAACAAAAATCATAGTTGAACAACATACGCACCTTTAGAGTAGAATCCTTAATAAATTCACATATCCTATGTCAAGTGAAGCTGAGCTCTACTAGTGAGATCAATCCAGGGACGTAGATATATATCACCTCACCTGCTCACCAAAGGCCAATGGGGGAGACTCGAACCTAGAACATTGGCGAGGTTGAGTGAGCTCCATCTCACGTGAGCCCACCTTTGAAGACACAACAAATTATTTCGCAGAATAAAAAAAAAAAAAAAAATCTAATCTACATTTATTTCTTGTTCTTGTCATGTAGAAGTAACACTTAAAAAGAAAATAACGGAGCTAATAATTAATGGTCTTTCAATATTCCTCCATTTTATACATTTTTTTTTTTTGTAGTTATAATCATTGTTTTAAAACCCAGATTGGAGGGTAATCCGTTCTGCTCTTCGGTTCACGGGTTAACCGGTCCAACAGGTTAGACCGTCGGTTGGATCGGTGATATCATCACATCAGCATGATGACATAGGCACATAAAAAATCATTTTTTTTTTTTTTTTTTTAAAGGATTTTCATTTTTTTAATAAGACAATAACAATTTAATTGTTACCAAGTAAATATTATGAAATATAATTAGAACCAGCAATTTGAATTGAATGATATGTTTGCCAATGACACCAACTTTTTCCTTTTTTTTTTTTTTTTTTCTCTCAAATGAGCAATGACTAGCAATGCTCATGGTACAAAGAGCATGGCTGGTGACCTAAATGGTCTATTATATTTTATTGGTAAAAAAATAGTATTACATCCGCTTAGCGAAACAATCTCCAACAACTGCAAAATGGCATGGTTGGGAAAAACAAAGTATCGGCAAACGCTTTAAGATGGTGGATTGCTTCAAGTATGCAATGAGGTGGGCACGATCATGTGGCTTCTTCAAACCAGAGAAAACCATCTTTGTTCCAGGAATGTACTGCATAAAGGTTTCAAAAGTGTCAGGAAACTCAACATGACATACTAAGAAGCAACTTTGGTACAGAAGAAGTTTAATTTCTGTCTAGGATTGATCACACAAACTGCCCCTCTTTTTTTTCCTTATAATATAGGGATCATACCTTCTTGGGGTTGAGCAAGTAGTCGTACAATGTCTTTTCCTCCCAATTCACAGCCATGTTCTTGTTAGCAGCAGAGTAGGAGTACCCAGGTGTTGTACCAGATTGCCTTCCGAACAGTCCATTAAGATTGGGCCCTGCAAATGACATCCATTTAGACAGAAGCAAAAGCACCTTCTAAGTTGCTATAATACCCTAAAATGTCAAGTTTCTCAAATAACTAATTTCAATAACTTTTCTGACTCTATTAGCTCAACTCAACATCAAATTAAATTACATATTTATGGTTCCCAACTATGTTGTTGAACACACTACTGACATTGAAGAATCCCTTGGGTTAAGGAAAAGTCACGGGCAAATCCTCTGAGAACCACATATCCATACCACAGTTAAAAAAAAAAAAAAGACAATCTACACGTCCATTTTTCTTTTCCATCTGCACCAATGATAATGAACATAGAAATTGGCTATTCTGATTCAGTTTACAAAAAAGTTTTTAACCTTCTATTTTCATCTCAGCTACATAAATTACTTTTAATTAGAGCTACAAATTAAAGTTAAAACTTGACAATATCACACCATAACGTGTTTAAATAAGATTGCAACAACTAAGGATGTTCAAAAGAATCGGTTGGAACCGGAACCGGTGGGTATCCTGGGTTTGGTTTCGGTTCTTATCCAGAACCAGTCGTTAATGGGTAGGTTCCGGTTCCAAATTTTTGGAACCATTATTATGCGGTTCCGGTTCTGATTCCTATAGTTAGGAACCGGAACCAGGAATCGAGACTAATATAAAATAAAATTAAAGATTAGGGCGGTTAATAAAATTTTTTTGTAGAAAAAGTAATGTGAATACATTTATATTTATATTTCATAATATTTAAAGTAAGTTGGTTTAACTTTTGAGAATCTACCTTTACAAAGTAATGGAGTTTGTAATTTTGAATTTATAATTTGTAATTTTATTTTTGTTAACAAGTGCCAGGTGGGGGGGTATTTGTAAGTTTTTAAGGGTTTTTTTTGCTATTTTAAAAACTTTTGGGGGGTCATGTAATTATACAGGGTACCCAGAACTAGAACCGAAACCGTTGTTACAGGTTCTGGTTATGGGTACCTAGGAACCGGAACCGTCGGTTTCGATTCTGGTTCCAAATTTCAAGGAACCGTCGGTTCCGGTTCCGATTCCGATTCTGATTCCGGTTCCGGTTCCTTCAAAAAGTGTAGGGTACCCGGAATCGAACACCCCTAGCAGCAACAAAGAAACTACATAGAATTTTACTTACAAAATTACTATTAGCTTTTAACGTTCAATTCATAAACTTTCTAAACCATTGGATGGCTATAAATCAATGTAACAAATTTAAGTTAAACTTTCAATCAACCTACCACACCCTAATTAGTCTGTTGAACCCTAAAACCTGTGCAAAAATTACTCTTCCCGAAATCTATCGAACAAATTATAACAAACATCCTCCAATTCCAACATTCAATTAAAAATTTAACTCACCGTATCCTAAAATATTTTAATCAGTTTCTTGAAGCTAGACCCTCATTTCATAAAAATATAGTTAAGACACAGCAGCTTACAACACATTACTCCTGAGGATTAAAGAGAGCCTTTATTTCCGTATTATTGCACTCTAAATGATAGAATAGCTTCAGCTTAAAAAGATACCCTAAAGAATTGAGGCGAAAATTATTGTGAAGATGTCCCAAAGGAAACAAATACGTTTAAACAAACAATGTGTACTTTTTTAAGAAAGCTTTAAAGTATAAAAAATATCACAGATTATGCAAAATAAAAACAATGAATCCACAAAAAACATTGCTCCAGATAAAGTTTGCAACGAAATCATCATTATTGAAGCTGGATCGAGGAATGACGTGTTTATTACCTGGATCGAGGAATGGAGCTGTCACTGTCAATTTCCAGCGAGGAACGGAGCTGTCGTCGTCGATTTTCGGCGAGGGAGGAAGACGTCGTCATCGATTTCAGAGAGTTCAATTGCGATTTCGTGAATGGTTGCGATTTCAAACTTCAAGGAGTGGAGCTGATTGCGATTTGAGTGGGATTTTAGAGAGAAATTTTCGTAGAGAAGAAGCTGAGAAACAAAGAAAGGAAATCAGAATTAATGGGCTGCAATTGCGTAGGGTTAGGGATTTTTGAAAATTTTGACCAGTTTATCCGTTGGTCTGATTGGACCGACGGTTCACTGATTTTATCTAGTTTTTAAACGGATTAAAGTGGGTTATTATATAATAACGGTTTTAGTGTTGACTCGAACCGAACACCTGATCGGTTTCGGCCGGTCCGGTCCGGTTTTTAAAACAATGGCTATAATCTCTCAACAATTAAAATAAAGGACATTACTTCAACTGTTGGTTCCATTAATTGTCCAAAACATCACGAATCACCTACTTGATGGTACAAGAAATACTCAGAAACTAGGAATTTTTTTATTTTTTATTTTTAAATGTCATCAATAGAGAAGATGACATTTCTTAGTTTGTACACAATGCAATGTAAAAGTTGTAACCACCATTAGGTGGTCTATGGTAAAAGAGCAAAGAGATCTAACATAGGTTCTTGAGTTTGAGTCTCCATAGGCTCAAATAAGGGTGGCCACTGAGAGGATTTATCCATCGTCAACTTCAGGGGCTTAAAAGATAAGTTAAGGTGCACACAAACTAATCCGAACACCTCCGATAAAAAAAAAATTTATGTTGTTACTTTTGATCATGGAGACCAACACTTGTGATTTTCACTATTGATCTTGCCAGAAAACACGCCTTTATGGGGCCGTTTGGATCGGAGGTAAATAAGATAATGAGGGTAATATTCGTTTACCTATTTTGTCCTTAATTAAAAACTATTTTGGACACAATTGCCCTCAAATGTCTACCAAATAACAATTACCTAACCTCCCTACATTTGAGAAATTAGCTAAAACACTCAAGTCACAAAAAGTTTAAAAGTTAACAAAATACCCTTCGCCACCCAAGACCACCGCCGATCGTGACTCACCTCTGGCGACCGTCAGCGTCAAATCGCGATAATGGTACACGACCAACAAGATCTAGCTGGTCGTGCACCGGTAAGGCCTTTTCCAACCATGGATCACAAATCAATGGCTGGAAACGGCTAGATATGGCGTTTCTATGGCCGTTTAACGACAAAAAATGTGGCCGTGAAATGACCATACATCTGGCTGTTTTTCAGCCATGGATTTGTGATCCATGGCCATTTCCAGCTTTGCCAGCGCACGGTCAACCATATATGACTAGTTGTGTGCCATTTCGTCGACTGCTGACGGTGGTGGCTAGCTACCGGCAGTGGCTTGGGGTGGATGGAGGTGATTTTGGTACAAATTAAAGTTTTATATGGCTATGGTGTTTTAGTAAAATTTTAAATGTAGGAATTTAAAAGAAATAATTCAAAAAATAATAATAAAAAATATTATTATATTAATATTTAAAAAAGAGGGCAATTTAATAATCTATATAATATATCCACCTATTTATCCTCCCAACCAAACTTATTATTTACCAATTTATTCGAACCAACCAAACACATTTTCTAAACATTCTCAATAATCTTCAAGGTGATTTTGCTTTCCGTTAATATAATACACCTTTATAATAAAATATTAAATGATCCAAACGCTCCTTACAAGTATACATACCAATCTTGTCTCCCCAACATAACATTTCCCAAAATAATTATTTATTTGTTTATGGAAATTAAAAAGTTTTATGAGTTTAGGTAATGGGTATTATTATTTTCATTGTAAGAATTTATTAACATAAAAACACACAAGAATTGTCAAGGAAACTTGTTGGTTCAGTCACTCACAAACGTCTGTTAACTTTTAATAGAATGGGGGTATTTTTATCCATTTAGGTAATCCACCTAATGCAAAAATCCCCCAATTTTGAATCGATAACATAAATAGGTGAATCGGTCGCGGGAAGTAGCCTCAGTGCGTACCTTGCGGTGCTGTGCTATGGCCATGCCTGCCATGGTGTCGGTGGCAACAACTGCGACTTGGAATTTAGGTTTGAACATATTATTTTTTCAGTCTTTGTGTTTGATCTACTGGTGATGCAATTTAGGTGTCAGTTAACGCTTATGTTTGAACTTAACCAAAAAATTATAGTTAATTTTGAGTTAGTGCAGTGAAGTTTAGATTCAATTAGAGATGGAGATGTGCTTGTAAATTTGAGATTAAATTTATGTCCCAAGTGAGAATTTTAAATCTCTGTAAAGACATGGAGTTTGACGAAAGTACCATAACGTCCGTTAATTTTAAGTAACCTCCCTTTCTTATGGGTTTGTACATATAGACAACGTAGAGTAAAAGAAATCTGATTAAGAATTACTTGGGGTGAATCTAAGCCTTATTATATAGAACAATGAAGATCACTTTTATAATAATTTTTTGAACCAAACATTCAGATGTTTGTCAATAATTGATAGGTGCTAGAGAAGAACTCCAGAGATGCATTTTTTTTACTTTTATAGGTGAATCAGAATTGTGTATGTAAATAAGAATTTTGGCAAATATTCTTTCTCCGTAACTTTTCTCTTTTGTCATACAACACAATATTCTTTCTTGTTTTTATCTTTTTCTTTCTCTTATCTTACACGCTTACAGTTTAATTGAAAGATTATTCATGAAAAGTGCTCAACAATATTTTCTTCAAATTAAGGCATAAATTTGTCCTAAACCCTTTTGCATACTTTTGTTTGAACAGGCCGAACCCATATTCAAGGATCCCAAGAGATTTCTGGATATGAAAAAGCAATTCCCAGAGAGAAGTTTGAATCAAACAGTTGCAATATAGCAGCCATGTGCCTAGAACGAACCATTGACTCGCCCTTTGATGAGTGATGCTGTGAAAACTCTCAAGTTTCCTTTTAGAAGATACATAAAAGATTTGCCCAAATGGGAATGAGCAAGGGAATTTTTTATTAGGATGGTAAGTATATGGGGATTGATCAGGATGAAGATTATTCGGATGAAGAAATTTCGAAGGGAGGATCTTCTAATCGTCCTGAAATCAACGAAGGAAGTTTTTCTTCGAGATCACACCGAAAGAATAGCAATAAAAGATCAGTGGATAAAAGTGTTTCTTAAAGATCATTTACAGCCAGCAAGATTTAAAGG